CCACCATTGAAATACACGAGTTTTGCTCAGCAGAGTCGTGCCCTCCAAAGACAGAATGGGATAAAATGTCAATCGTGCCTTCGCCATCGACACACAAAGGACCACAATGAGGCCGCCGACAAACAGCAGAAGCATGACGATGCTCAGCACCAACGTGAACCCTACCTTGGATGAAAGCCCCTGCATTGACGCAAAGGAGGTCCCCACAAATAGATTCACAAGAAAAAGCAACGGAATGCCAGGAAAAAAGCAGCGTTCCGCCGTCCTCGTCCATGAACCTTTGCCTTTCCACTTCAACGACAGAATCACCAAAAAATGCACCAACAGCACGCCACCGATAATAATGAGGTTGCCTATCATCACACCGTAGAAAGAGTCCTCGATCGTCGCCACAGAAATGCTGCGATAATATCCCAACGCACGACGAGTTGCATCAGGCGTGCAGTGCATCATACTTAACACTGTCACGTAGTTGATACCCGGTACACCAAAGGGTGCGCCCAGCAGCGAGAACATTGCGGTAACTCTGCCAGCCTCACCTGTGCCGCCTGCATACACGGGTTGCGTTACAGATGACACAGCAACAGATATGAGCGGGTACAATGGAACCTTTCTTTCCCCACCACGCAGCAAATAATACCGTTGCGCATGATCCGACAGCGAAGGCGGCGGCATGCGGCAGCCCAAAACCTCGTCCACTGGTGCCGAAAACTCAATGGCCTCATTCACGTTAATATAAAAATCTTTAATAGGTGAAAAACTAAGCTGAAAAAGCCCCAGCTCATCCCGCATTATTTGCACGCCACTCCGAATCGACGAGAGAAAATGGGTGCAACCTCTTCGGCTCATCCTGCCCAACCTCCGCTCACGACAAAAAACGTTCAGTATACTTGCGTTCAAAATAACCTGCTCATTCCCAAGCTTGGGTGGACCCCACTCCCAAGGCAGCAACTTCCATTGGCCACCAAGCGTTCCAAGCAATCGAAAACCCTCACGAACATTAACAACCCCAACCTGAACTGACGGCCATGGCACCAGCGACACGTTTTCCGGACAAAACAAAATCAAAGAACTACTAGACGGAGACAAAGTTAAAGAGGCAGTTCGAAAAGCCGTTGAGGTTGGCAAAACAGGAGGTGTCACCTTCCTGGAAGTCGTCTTATCGGGCACAGCCGTCTGGCTAGGCGTCACCTTCCCGGAAGTCGTCTTATCGGGCACAGCCGTCTGGCTAGGCGTCACCTTCCTGGAAGTCGTCTTATCGGGCACAGCCGTCTGGCTAGGCGTCACCGTCCTGGAAGTCGTCTTATCAGGCACAGCCGTCTGGCTAGGCGTCACCTTCCTGGAAGTCGTCTTATCGGGCACAGCCGTCTGGCTAGGCGTCACCGTCCTGGAATTCGTCTCACTGGGCACAGCCGTCTGGCTAGGCGTCACCGTCCTGGAAGTCGTCTTATCGGGCACAGCCGTCTGGCTAGGCGTCACCGTCCTGGAAGTCGTCTCACTGGGCACAGCCGTCTGGCTAGGCGTCACCGTCCTGGAATTCGTCTCACTGGGCAAAGCCGTCCGGCTAGGCGTCACCGTCACAGAAAATGTACTAAATGGATGCGGGACAGGCGGGCCTCGTCTTCTGCTTGGAGGGTAGGGGCGTCGAGCTCTTGTGCGCCTTCTCGTTCTTTTTATATCCGGTGGCAGTTCCATTTCCTCCGTCATAAAGACAAGCGAAGGGTCGTTGAACGTGTTGTCCAAATTTGGTAGTACGAAAGGAGGGCCCGACATGGATCGGTTACGGCTACGCTTTTTTCCGCTCTCTGTTTCAAAGGGCGTATCTGCATCCACTTGGCTGGGGAAAATTGCGGACGTGATGCAAAGGGCAACGAGCACCATCTGCACGTACATTTCTTTTGCGTTTGTGCGGGCTTGTGCGCCGTTTCCCTCCCCTCCTCCCCCTTTTTTTGCTGCCTGCTTCTTCTCGTTTTTGTGTGTAGC